GCATTGAAGATGGGTCATGGCTTGGTCTTCCAACATGACAACGACCCGAAGCACACAGCCAGGATAACCAAGGAGTGGCTCCGTAAGAAGCATATCAAGGTTCTGGAGTGGCCTAGCCAGTCTCCAGACCTAAATCCAATAGAACATCTTTGGAGGGAGCGGAAACTCCGTGTTGCTCAGCCACAGCCCCGAAACCTGACAGATCTAGAGGAGATCTGTGTGGAGGAGTGGGCCAAAATCCCTGTTGCAGTGTGTGCAAACCTGGTCAAGAACTACAGGAAACGTTTGACCTCTGTAATTGCAAACAAAGGCTTCTGTACCAAATATTATTATATTAACACTGATTTTCTCAGGTGTTCAAATACTTATGTTCAGCAGTGCAAGACAAATAAATTCTTTAAAAATCATACAATGTGATTTCCTGAATTTTTTTTTTAAATTCTGTCTCTCAGAGTGGGAATACACCTACAATGTGAATTTCAGACCCCTCCATGATTTCTATGTGGGGGAACTTGCAAAATCGCAGGGTGTTCAAATACTTCTGTTCCTCACTGTAACTGTAGATCTACTTTCAGTGCAGCAGTGGCAGTGTTGTCTACAGGAAGTTAGCAGCTGAATGCATTTCTGGCAGGATCAACAGTACTTGCAGAGTTTATGAAAAGAATATGGAAAAATTTATTGTAGATATGTACTGAATAGTTTTTTGTAGATTTTGACCTCACAAATACTTTTTTAATATTTGGGAGAAATGCTAATGTTACATGGAGTAGAATATGAAGGTGTAATTCACCCTTTATAACCCGGATGTATTTGTATTGTAGCTTCAAGCTCAGCAGATGACCAGAGTCGCTTGACTGTGATGGAGATAAGCGAGACATCAAACAAAGAGTCAGATTTCTAATGTTCTGGACATCATGTGTTGCATCTGTTTTTTAGCAATAGAAGTTCGTTTAGCAGTATTAAGAAGTGAAGTATTCAAATCCAAACCAAAAATAGTTTAAAGTTGAACTCCAGGAAGAAATCTCAAGTCAATGTTAGAAATGTCAGTTCTGACATTTAACAAATAGTCTTTTTCCAGCTGATGCCATTGATCAATCTATCTTTGAATGCAGCATTTACAGGGCTCAATGTCACTCATTTTCTGTATGGGAGACCAATTTGCCCACTTTTTCCCCTGCCCACCAGTCCTGTAATATCCCTGTAATAGTTCATACTATTAGCAGTGGTGTCTTTACATAGCTGATTTTTTACTGTGAGCTAATCAGGCTCAACTGCATCGCATGGTGCTGTCACTGTACCATGTTTCAGGCACTGGGTGCTGCAGGGAGGTGTGTCAGCATCCTTCATCCAGTAGGCCTGTTACACACGGGCTTCAGCTTGTATAAGAGCAGTGTGAACAGCAAGCTTTGACAAAGCATTTGCAGAGCTTTCAGCAAGCTTTGGTGAAGCTTTTAAAGGACCACTCGGCTGGCAGTTTGTAAATGTTGAACACACATCCTATTGGGACTACTGATGGCCACTTTAAACAAGCCTTGTTGAAACCCCGCTGAAGCCTGCTAGCTGCTTTCCTAAAGTGGCAATCAGCACTCCCATTAGGATCTATGTTCAATATTTACAAACTGGAGCCGAATGGTCCTTTAAAGGCTTCAATAAAGCTTGCTGAAAGCTTTGTCAAGGCTTTCTGTTCACGTTTCTCTTATACAAGCTAAAGGCGGCATGAAACAGGCCTACAGGATGAAGGAAGAACAGGGAGGATCTAAGCCATGAAGTTGTAGTCCAAACAGCATGCAGATGACTTAGAACACTGCAGCCCTGCAAAGGGAGCGGCGTCTTCCCACTAGCCAGGATGTGTGAATAACATTTTGGCAAAGTAGATATTTAGGCAGGGAGGGCTGCTTGCCTGGGCCCCAGATTTTATCACATCTAGTGATTACTCGTTATGTTTTGTTTGTATTTTTCTCTTTCAGGTTTAATGTTCAGCGTTATGTTTGTACTTATTGATGATTTGGTGTAGTTTTGCACTTTTTCCCTATGGTACTATGGTAGCATGCTTTAAAGTGGAAATTCGGTCAAAATCTAACTAAGGCTAAACCCACTCCCACCCCCATTCTAAGCCTATTCTCTCTAACCCTGAAAAAAAAAAAGATCTGTATACTTACCTCTTCTGAAGCAGCTCTGGTCCGGTCATGTGATCTCTCCAGCGGTGGCTTCAGTGTAAAGGAGAGATCATCGTCAATGGCCGAAAATGCCTGGGAGATGACATCACCCATAGACTTACTATGGGGTATCCGTTGTCCGCTATCCCTCCTCTACACTGCATCTACTGCTGCCGCCGCTGACAGCTGACCATGGGACCAGAGCAACTTCAGACTAGATTAGTATACAGATCTTTTCTTTACAGGGTTAGATGGAATAGTTTTAGATGGGGTGGGAGTAGGTTTAGCCTTTGTTAGATCATGACTGAACTTTCATCTTAAAGCTTTAACACACGGTATGAGTTTACTGCAGTGTGCTGCCAATCATTCTGTTCATATACTGTAGAACCAAATAGATCTGCGCTATACCGCGCTATTCTGCACTACAACTCACTGATGTGCCTTGCCAAAAAGAGCGTGTTCTCTCGTGCCTTGAGGGGCATTGAAAGCCTTCATCAATGCCTATACACAACGCACCTCAATGCACACAAAGGTGTAAAAAGGCTCTAATAGAACCTATATAGAACCGTCAGTTAAGTTGGATGAAATTTGACTTTTGTGGTGTAAAATGGCACACCAACATGTTTTTTTAGCAATAAAAGTTTTATCTTGTTGGATAGAATGATTTTGTCTCGTGTTTATTACATATTGTGATTTTTTTTTTCTGAAGTACAATGACAGTTTTATACTATTTAAAAAAAAAAATTTTTTTTTCCTAGGCTGAGCCGATTAATTCTGTATTAGCACAGCCTAGGTCTGATTGGGGATCATTCTTCAGGCTAGGTCTGAGGACGAATAGGAAAAAAAGATCTGCAGGACCGCCACTGCGCTAAAATCTTTCTCTTTATTGAAACGACTACAAAAAATTTACAGCAAAAATACAATAGGTTGAAAAAAGCCTTAGTTGTAACCCATAAAGTAGGTCTGAAGACGATCTTTTTCAGAAATAGTAAGTGATCTCTATTAGAACTATTCTTAGCTTTATCAATTCAGCATGGGAAATACATGTTGTGATAAGTGCATTTAAAATGGAACTCTTGGCAGTAAGAAAAAGTAATGGACACCCCCCTCCTCCCCTCCTGTTCACTATTTATATTGGACCTTATTCTTGTCATCTTAGACACTTGGGGGTGTATTTATAAGAAATGCATAGCTCTTACTCATAAATAATTTACATATACCCGTATTTTCCGGCGTATAAGGCGACTGGGTGTATAAGACGACCCCCTAATTTTCCAGTTAAAACATAGGTTTTGGGCTATACTCACCGTATAAGACTACCCCCCTTCTGAGGCAACAGCATTTAAAAACATCAGATTTTTTAATTAAAATGGTTATGACTTACCGGTACTTAAAATCCTTCAAAATCCTCATGTTCATCCTCTGACATCATAAGTTCATGAATGACATCTTGTGATACATTTGTAAGACAGTCATCATATGGATCAAATTCCAAATCAGATAGTTACCGCTGGATGTGCGGTAATACGGTAGCTTCGGCTACATACAGCATACAGTATATATACAGCCCGCTGGATGTGCAGTAATGTACATACAGTATACGCGCTGAGCCAAGCTGGCTCAAAACAAATGTCCCTATGACAGATTAATATGTCAGCCCGCTGGATGTGCGGTATATACAGTATACTGAGTATATACCACTGTGGTATATACAGTATACGGAGCCAAGCTGTTTCAAAACAAACCGGTACGTCCCTACGGTAACCAGACCGCTGGATGTGTGTATGTACGGTAGCATACAGTATACGCTGGGCCAATCACGGTGAGCGATGTATTCTACTAATGAATACAAAGCCTGCTCGGATTGGCTGAGGTTGTGACATCATCCGCCCACCTCTCTGACTCAGCCAATCCGAGCGGTCTTTGTATTCATTAGTAGAATACATCACTCGCCGTGATTGGCCCAGTGTATACTGTGTGTAGCCACAGCTACTGTATATACACGCATCCAGCGGGCTGATTGCAGTAGGGATATACCGGTACGTTTTGAAACCGCTTGGCTCAGCGCAGTATACTGTATATACCGCACATCCAGCGGGCTGACAGATTAATCTGTCATAGGGACATTTGTTTTGAGCCAGCTTGGCTCATTACTGCACATCCAGCCAGCTTGACCCAAACAAACTCAAGGTTCACATTTTATACACCGTGTATAAGACGACCCCCAATTTTTGGGATATATTTTTAAGTATAAAAAGTAGTCTTATACGCCAGAAAATACTGTAGTTAAATGTAAATGGGGAAAAATTGAATGTTCTCAGGCTATATTCCCTACAGATCTAGTGCCTGAATGGAGAAAATACCACATTATGGCCATTAGATGGTGCTGAGTATAATAGGAAATAAGTATGTTTATCAGCTCCATCTAGTGGCCATAATACAGTATTTTACCCATTCACACATTTGAGCTGTAGAAAATGTACCTTGAGAACTTTCAATTTTCCCCCTTTGCACATGAACAAATTTTAAATGCAGTTTTAATAAATACACCCCTTAGATCTGCCTTTTTCAACCAGGATGCCTTTAAGTTTCTCCAGGGGTGCATTGGGAAAATGCCTAAAAATTGTAAACAAACTATGAATGGATCAAGCCAGGCTTTTAGTTACCCAAAGCCACAGGTTTTCATTGTGCATGATTACAACCTTCTAGCCACTAGCGTCCTGACAACCAGTGATGTCATGAGTTGGTCACATTAACTGAGTGAGGGAGAAAAACCAAGGAGAGGAGAAACATTGAAATACTAGTCAGTACCAGTGTGTATTTGCTTTGGAAGAACAAATCACCCAGGGGTGGACTGACCATTTGGAAACTCGGGCACTGCCCGAGGGCCCGGGGTCAGTAGGTGGCCCCATGAGATGCCCCTGGCACCTTTTTCATAGGCTTTTTTGAGTTTGGGCAAGGACAAAGGGGCCCCATGATCCCCTATTGCCCGGGGGCCCCATGAGTTGTCAGTCCGCCCCTGAAATCACCTCTAATGTTGGATGTCCTACATGTGTGGATGTTGGTATGTTATGTAAAACTATTCATTTTTTACATTTAAGAAAGGGGTGCCTCGAGATTGTTCAGGATTTTAAAGGCTGCCATGATTAAAAAAAGTTTAGGAAACACTGCCAAACAGTATCATTGAACCCTGCAGAAGTTCTAATACAAATCAGTATTCATGTGAAAAACAAAATGTGCTGCGCTTTAACAAAAAAGCAAATGTATACATAAATAAATACAAAATATTATAAAGAAAAAACATTACAAAATCATGAATGAATAAACCCAATGTGACAATTTTCAATGTGAAAAAAGTATGTGTCGAAAGAATGAAATTATAACCACATCCAAGGTAGAGCTGATTGCAGAAAAGATGTCCTGGAAAAATAAGAAAGGGCCTCCACCGAATAACACCATGCATACTGACCAGATATCCATGACCCTTTGGTATATCAATCCCGTGGATTTCTCCTCTAGGGTATCCTTTACAAGTTATACTTGGATCGGCAGTTATTTCCGCGCTGGGACATTCACAGATACTCATCAGCCATCAAATTAGTATATAAAATAAAAAATCCAACATAGTGTAGAACTTTTACTCCAAAAATTGAACAGAGAAAATAAACCTCTCACTTCTAGATGTCATTGTGCATTGCAGACAGCGGATGAATCCCCAGGCCCCTAGCCTTACTAATTAATCTTCCTCTGCTGATATCTAGTCAGCAATGGCAGCACATGCATAGCACAGCACCGCTTTCCGAAATGCACAATGACATCTAGAAGTGAGAGGTTTATTTTCTCTTCAGTTTTTGGAGTAAAAGTTTAGAGCTCTACAATTGTCTGCACCACAGCTAGTTTTTGGAATTATCGAACGGGTGTTTATCCATCTACTATTGGGGGCCAGTTCGATCCTTTGATGTCATAAAGTGTCCAGGTCCATGGCATGCGTCTGCAATTTGCATTGCTCATTTTGATCCATCCTTAACTGGGGGTCAATTTGATCTGGTAAGTGGCAGAATTTTTGGGGTGTTGGTGATGCTGGATTTTCTTCATCTTCTTGACCAGATTTGAAGCATTCATGACAACATTGATGTCCCAGTAAAAAAAGGGTCTTATTTCACGTCATATCTCCTTCGCTTGTGAATTGGATTTTCCATTTATTTCATGTATTTTCACTAACTTTTTGGTTATTTGTAGCGCCGCACTTTTATGTTTTATTGTTTGATGTATTGTTGCCTGCAATATTGACGTGGCTGCTTATGTTCTATTGATACTTTTATGTTAGGAGTCACACATATACTATAGTGCAGAATTTTTAAGTTATTTTTTGTTTAACATACAGTATATCAATAACCGTCAGGACAGGATCCTCCCCCCTGCTCCTCAGAACGCAGCCGGTCAATGCCAGGGAGATGACAACCAGCATTAGTTGCGCCCTAAGGAGTAGGGTGATTTCCACTAACGCTGTATTAGGGTCCTGCCCACGCCTGAATATTAGGCATAGGGATTCAATATCACCGGACATCCACTGGATACACATTCTATATAATGGAACACATGAACATAAAGGCAAAGTAAGCTATATCTAACAAATCTCAAGAAATCCCCAGCTACCAACTATAGTCATGTTGGGTTGGGAGATCAAAAGAAATCTTTCGAAGGTCATTAGAATGTTCTGAGAGTTTTCGCACACAGAATTTTTGTACACATTTCTACTAATGTATACCCCGTTTACCTGTTGTGTTCAGCAAGCCTTTTATGGTGAGCTTTGAAAATAACATTTCTAGTAAGAAAAAAAAAAATTATGGCGGAGGGGCGAGGGTGAGTATATTTAGGGGTGGTGAAAGTGCCTAGATAAAAGTTCACAGTAATAACAGATACTTCAGCTTTTTATGTTTCACCATTAGGTGGCAGTGTAACATTGCATTGTTCAACATAAAATAGGATGTAGCCGCTGATACACAATAATAACATCAAAGACGTTATACAAAAAAAAAACGTTCGCTTTTGAAAGACAGCAAAGGAATGCCACCAAAACACCCATCTATATCACTCTCTTATTGTATGTAAACAAAGCAGAGATATGATAAACAGGTAAGTTACTGGAAGACCGCCTCACTGTACTCTGAGGGCTTGGTCATCCTTGCCCTCTGAAAAGCGATCTGCAGTGGTAAGAATAGTAATTACTTCAGTTGCAATTTTAGATAACATATAAATAGCAGGGAATTTGGCCTAGCACTCAAGCTCCTGTATTTTTACAGGTCAGCATAGCTGTGGTCTGACCAGAATGGCAGTTTACAATTTGCAATGTGAGTAGTACTGGGAAAATTCCTTTGGCATCCAAGGTGAAGATTTCAAAGTGCACCCCATATTCCCAGCTGAGATAGGTGGAGCTTGCAAATCAACACATACAGTGGCTGGTGTGACACAGGGTACAGAAATGACGGCTGGCCCTAGGGTTATCACCTTTTGGCCCATGGAAGGCTATTTGCGGTTGAAGCACATGTCTGTGCTCATGCTGTTGCTTTATGTTGTTTCAATGGGCAGTTGTACGCAGTGGCTGCGGATTTCAGTAATGTCAGTACTTTGACTTTGCATGCTGTATTATTATTATTATACAGGATTTATATAGCGCCATCAGTTTGAGTAGCGCTTTACAACCTAAAGCAAGACAGTACAGTTAGAATTCAATAACATTCAAGAGGGTTAAAGTGTTACTAAACCCAGGACCCTGCATTCACTATATCTGGTCTCCCACAGTACACAGAACATGGAAATGCAATTATTTTAGTAAATATATACTGCTAAATACCTTTATCTCATCATCAGTTAGTCATGTGACTTCTATCAGAGTCCAGTCAAGCACTGGTTAAAGCTTTTAGGAGTTTTCATTCTTCCCAGATTGTCCTATGAGGCTGTATAACCCCTGACCTTCTGTCTGGACAGCGCTGATTGGCCCTGTGCTGATCACATGCACCCTCCCAAGAAAAAAAAAAAAACTCTAGCAATATACACCAAACTGAGCATGTGCACCTTACCCCCAAGGCTCTGTTCTATCAGCAGATGGACTGGGGACAGTATAAGGGTAGGATCAGAGAAGATGGGATCAAACAGCCTTTTTACACAATGCAGAGGATTAACCCTTTAGGTTGAGTATGACCAGCATGCTTTACTACATATACAGACTGATTTTACTATTGTGGGTTTAGTAACACTTTAAGAGGGCCCTGCTCATAAGAGCTTACACTCTAATAGGGGTGGGGGCCCCTATATGGCCACGTGCATGAAGCCTGACTTGGCAAAAGTGCAAATTTTATTCTGTGATTTTTTTTTTCTGTTTATGCCCTCGTGCACACAGACATTTTGAAGCATCCAGTGTAAATTGCAGCAATATTTCCGAGCTCAAGAGACAGTGTCAGCAAACAGCCACCCACATCTGTATGGGGGTATACGTCTGTGTAACATTGCATACGGCCATGGCGTGAATTCCGGGATTTACCCCCATGTATGAGTTTACACAATCATGCCGTACAATTACATATATTATTCAGCCATTCATTACGTTGGGCAGTTGTTGGCTGCAGCTGTGTCTCCAGGGCTCAGAAATGCGCCTGCAATTGACGTCGGATGCCTCAAAGCATCCATGTGCACGAGGCCAAAAGGCACAAGAGGTGTGTTTCTAGTCGGGCGGACTGACAACTCATGGGGCCCCCGGGCAATAGGGGATCATGGGGCCCCTGTGTCCTCACCCACACTCAAACCACACCCAAAAAAGCCTATGAAAGGTACCAGAGGCATCTCATGGGGCCCCGTACTGACCCCGGGCCCTCGGGTAGTGCCCGAGTTCCCAAGTGGTCAGTCCACCCCTGTTTCTAGTACAGCGCATTTTTTACTGCAGAGCTAAACACACAAATGAACATAAATTCAAAAAGTTTGCATAAAAAGCTGACAGAAGGAGGACATAAATGAGTTATTAAAAACTAGGAGTTATTAAGGGATAACATGTTGTTTAAAGCTGAAATATGGCCAAAAATGATTATCTATTATAAGTTAGCTCTAATGACGTGTGATCTGTGTTTGTTGCATATCTTAGTTTTACTCAGCCAGCAGTGGCGCAGAGCATGACGCGCTGAGACTTGTAGCTTCAGGTGGAGTACACTCAGTACACTGATCACTGCTGGCTCCGCACCTTCTCCATTCAGAAAAACACTTGCATTCTTTTCAAAGAGTGCAAGGTGTTCTGTGACTGGAGGAGGGCGGTTTCAGTGTGATGTTCACCTGCACCTTCTCCAATCACAAAGTGCCTTGCATAGACAAGTAACATTTTCTGCAGTAGCCAGAGATTATTATTATACAGGATTTATATAGCTCCAACAGTTTGCTCAGCGCTATATAATATAATGGGAGACAATACAATTCAATACAAGAGGGAAAGGAGGGCCCTGCTCCTTGGAGCTTACAATCTAGGAGGGAGGGGCTAGTGGTACAAAAGGTAGTAACTATGGGGGATGGACTGGTTGGAAGAGTAGAAGATTCCATTATTAGCTGAGGGCAGGATAGGCTTCTCTGAAGAGATAGGTTTTCAGAGATCGCCTAAAAGTGAGCAGAGTAGGCGATAGTCTGATAAATTGGGGTAGAGAGTTCCAGAGGATGGGGGAAGCTCTGGCGAAGTCCTGGAGACGAGCATGGGAGGAGGAGACAAGGGAGCATGGGGTGCACGTCATTACAGCTAACTGATTTTTACTGTGCAAATGGCCAAACATCATCTACAATGGTGCCACCTCCTAGATTGTAAGCTCCGAGGATCAGGGCCCTCCTAACCCTCTTGTATTGAACTGTATTGTTGCTGTATTGTCTCCCGTTATATTGTAAAGTGCTGAGCAAACTGTTGGTGCTATATAAATCCTGTATAATAATAATCTTTGGCTGTACTTCAGCTTTAAACAAAATGTTGTCCCTTATTAACCCCTCGTTTTTATTAACTCATTACTCATATACTTCAGCATTAAGGATTCGTTCACACAGACGGCCAGAGGGACAGTAAAAGCAGGTGGTTGAGCTGCAGTTTAACATTTCCCCGCCAACCCACCTAAACATGGTCGTGCAGCTGCACAGGGCCGTACATATGCTGTTGGAACAATGCTCTGTAGCCACAGTGAAAAATAAATACCCTGTTGGCAGTACTATGACAAACACATTCAGCAGCAGCATTCAGGAATCGTTCACAAAAGCTTTGCTCTCTGAAGAGCCTTCGGATTACCCTTCAGATAGAATATGACAGGCAGTTGTAGTATCACCTCCTCACTGCCTGCTTTATTCCCCTGAACTCTGCACTAATGTGCTGCAACCTTGCGGTGCACTTGCATAGTGTCAGCGGGTATAAATCCTGCCTTGCTCACGCCATTTGTACAGATATTTGTACAGCCTGTGGCCGGGGGGGCCACTGTCTCAGCAGATAAAGGGTGAGCCGTTTTTTCCAAAATGTGGGGTTTTACCACCACCCCAGCAACTGCTAGTGTGAACATGCCCTCAACCAGTGGATCTGCCTTATCAGGGTTAAAACAGGAGGTGGGCAGGTGACATATTGCCTCCTCCCCTTCTGTCAAATACCCTCTAAAAAGTGATCCATTACAGATCGCTTTTCAAAGGAGATGCAAAGGCTGCTGTTTGAAGGAGACCTTTAATAAGAACAAGGTTCAATCTATCAATAAAGCTAATTTTATAATTTTAATATTTTATATTGAAAAGAAAAAGGAATTACTGGCTAGTAGTTTATTGCCCTGATATATATTTTAAATGTTTCTGAAAAAAGACCGCAAAAAAACTTTGGAATAAAAAGGAATACAAGACAGATAAAACAAAAACCACGGAACATCCTTCTGTTATTATTTCTAGAATTCTGATTCATCCGGACAACTACATTGTGCTGCAAAGACACTCAATTACCCAATTCTGGTTCCGTGGAAGAGAACCTTTACTTGGAAATGTTGTGTAATGCAATCCATCTGACCAGTCCTATTTATTTCATTTCCTGTTACTTTTAATTATTAACTCGATTACTCCTAATAGAATGCTGTTACTACTCCAACAATAAGATTTAGTGTTCAGCCTGGAGCGGATAGGTCTGAAAGCATTTTGTCAGTTTTATGGACCTTGTAATTAAATGCAGCTTCAGACAGAAGAGGATGTAGCCGTGTTATAATGTGCTGCAGTCAGAACAGTGTTTTTGATGGAGACTTTGTGCAATCAAAAATCTACCCTAATGCCCCGTACACACGATAAGAAAATCGTACGAAAAAGTTTGCGGAACCACTGATCGAATGATTATCTCTTCGTTGATGAGCAGGATGTTTTAACCGATAACAATATTGTGAACAAAAAAAATCTGGTTGAACAACAGTGAAAAATTGTCATTTCGCATACGAACAACCAATTTTCTATGCGGTGGTATGACGGTCGTACGAAAAAAATCTATCAAGCGCTATCACGCATGAGCGGAAACAGAAGATGACCCCGATGTTTATGTCCAAGGAATCTTCGTACACACGAACGAAAAATCCAAATGTTAAAAGTAGATTGGCCGAATGAGATAATGAAACCAGAATTGTGCAGATTATATTTTATGTATCACTATTTATGTATATAGGTCATGTAATAAACTATATTATACTCATTGCTGGTAATTGTTGTGTATATCGCTTGTTCTGGCTGGAGGGGCGTGGCTACATGGTCACATGCACACTGCATCACTTCCACTTGTACAGAAGACGTCAACACTACGTATTGCCCAAACAATTGTTTTTTGATTGGTTAATGTGGGACACGATTTCGATGAACGAACGCCTCTCGGTTGTTGGATGACCGATTGGTCGATTTTCTAATCGTGTATTCCCACCTTAAGCAGTCACAACATTTGGAGGCTCTTGAAATTATAGACTTCGGTCCACAGTATACAGAGGTCCCTTGACGTGGGACTGTGGCTTACATATGTATTTGCAAATGTGTGCAAACAAAACCCTCTGTTTTTTATGCAAACTGTTAGGGCCAGATTGGTTGTTTTGCAGGCTGGCTGGTAAGTGTTGCTGGGAAATCCTTTGTTCATCACAATGACTTGATTGACATTACCAGATCTACCCAATTGATCGAGCAAAGTTGCAATCACAACTTTCTTAAATTGAAACTATAGGAGAAGCAAAGAAAAGACAAGTCTGCTAGCACTGCTGATCTCTTGCAGTCTCTTTGCAGCTGCTTTCTGCCTACATGCACTCTAGCAGCTCCTTCACATTATTTCCCATGGCTGATTTCCTGATGGTGACAACAGTGGCGCATGCCTGTTCATTGTATGTTGGCATAGTAGCTTTGTCGTTTCCATTGGAAGAGCGTGTGACAATGCAATATATAATGTAATTGTATACTCTGTGGATCTATTGCAATAAACTGAGCATACTGGCATTATTGAAATATATACAATTATCATATCTGTCTTAAAGGTCCCATAAAGGGGGTTACGTACGATAGTGGAGCTACTAAGAAAACAAAGAAACATAGAAAAGTGATGGCAGAAAAAGACTGAGTTTATCCATTGAGTCTGCCTGTTTTTTTGGGGGGGGTTTTTTGGTGTGTGGTTTTTTTTTTTTGTTTTTTTTTTTGGGGGGGGGGGGGGGGGCTTGGGTTGTTTTTTGTTTTGTTTTCTTGTCCGAGTATAGATCTATGCTTGTCCCAAGCATGTTTGAAGCTATTTACTGGTGACTGGCTCACTACCTCTGCTGGAAGTTTATTCCAAGAACAGGGGCGGACTGACCATTTGGAAACTCGGGCACTGCCCAAGGGCCCGGGGTCAGTAGGGGGCCCCATGAGATGCCCCTGGTACCTTTTTCATAGGCTTTTGTTGGCTTTGGGCAAGGACACAGGGGGCGCCATGATCCCCTATTGCCCGGGGGCCCCATGAGTTGTCAGTCCGCCCCTGTCCGTCCAAGAATCAACTATTCTTTCAGTAAAAGTACTTTCTGAGATTAGTTTGAACTTTCCTCCAGTTAGTTTAAGGTCATGTCCCAGTGTTCTTGATTTTGGTTTCATATTGAGAATACTGCCCTCCTGAACCTTTCACGCCCTTGATGTACAGTATATACAGATTTCAATCCCCGTCTTTCCCTTCCTTCCTCCAGACTGTACATGTTAAGTTCCTGAAGTTGCTCTTAATATGTTTTATCCCCCAGACCTTTCACCATTTTTGTTACCTGTCTCTGGACTTGTTCTATCTTACCAATATCTTTTTGTAATCAAGGTCTCCAGAACTGGACATGGTATTCTAAATGAGGTCTAACTAAAGATCTATAGGGGAATCAGGACCTATTCCTCCTGCTGGTGACCCCTCTAGGGGATCAATATAGGGGAATCAGGACCTCCTTCCTCCTGCTGGTGACCCCTCTAGTGATAGCTAAAGATCAATATAGGGGAATCAGGACCTCCTTCCTCCTGCTGGTGACCCCTCTACTGATGCATCCTAGAATTCTATTTGCTTTGCCCCCTGCCTGGCCACACTCTTTGCCCATTCTGCAATCATCTGAAATAAGTACCCCAAGTCATTTTCCTCTGTAATACTGGCCAACACTGTACCCCCAATGTTGTACTCTCTCAAGGGATTCTTTCCCTAGGTGCATTATTTTACATTTAGAAATATTGAACATCCCCAAAAGGGGAAGTTGTGCTTTAAAGACTGGTCCCCCACCCCCATTAAGGATTGGCACCTTTGGGGAGCGGGTACCCGAAATTGACACGTACCCGCTCCCACTTCCGCTGCGATCGCCTAGGAATATGGGAAGCAAAAGTTGTACTCCCCCCTGTAGACTTTTGGGACACGTGAGAGGGCCCAGAAGACTATGGGACCATCCAGAAAGTGCAGCACTACTTGCACATGCGTTATGGGCACCTGGATGTGAAGCTGCAAGCTGTCACAGCTGGGTGCCCACATTTAGAATGCCGGCACAGGGGACACAAGATGTCAGGTGAAACTGGCTGTGGTGAGGACACCGCTGGATCATGGGACAGGTGAGTGGCAGGTTTTTTTTAGAAGTCAGCAGTTACAGTTTTTTGTAGCTGCTGACTTTTGTTTTTTACAGTTTGACTGGAACTCCACTTTAACATTGCACTGACATCCACCACAGATCGCAAGGGCAGTGCATTATGAAGACGTGCAGAAACTGCGCAGGTTTTGAGGGTTTCCCACACCACAATCTAGTGTGAACCAGGGTTAATGGCAGCATCAACAAGTATTATTTTAAACCAGAACTCCAACCTTCTATATAAACTCAAAGAATGCCAACTCAGTAACCAACAATTTGTCCAGTTTTAATATTCTGACATAAAATAGAAAGTATAAAATATAATAAAAGATGTGATAAATCCTATATACATGAGGTCTGTGCAAGAGAATATTAGAAATGTGTAATAATTTCAAAAAGGAGAACTATATTCTCAATTATATACATTGTTTATATAAAGTCAGATTTCCAAAGTGCCTCTAAGTCCGCCTGTGCCTTCCAATACTGTTGTATTCAATTGCAGCACCACAGAAATAATGTACAGAAAATTGTATTAAGAGGTTTAGCAGTTATATAATAGGTATTTAAAGAGACACCAATGCTTTAATGAAAATAGCACCCCTATACCAGTGGAGTCCCCTAACTATGGGGGTATCCCTCTCTGATCTTGTCTATGTAAAATGGCAGATTGGGTGTTAAGACCGCTGACCAGTCCATGGACAGTCCACTTTACTAAATGTCACTGTCACTACTTTGCAGTTTGATTGGTTGTTTTATGGCATGCCCCTGTTTACCTTAGCATAAGAAGTGGGGACCGCCATATTGGTGGTGCTAACCATACTGAGCAGATTCAATACCAGTAATATCATATGGGCAGGTGGGCCATCATAGGACTGTTCATCAAACAGTGAGGTCCTTTGTAACCAGTCTGCCTTTCCACCATGATGTGTTAAATAGCCCTTCAGCACTGAACTTTCAGTTTAAAGTGGGACTTTAGTCAGAAAATGAAGTCCTGATAGTTCACTTGAGGCTGGCCCCTTGCAGGTCTAGCTATATAAAACATTAAATATAAGTGCCTATACTATTTAAAATCCAGTAGTACACAGGGGTTTATTTACTAGAGGCAAACTGAATGTGCATTTGCAAGTGCAGTTGCACTCTCTAAGGGCATTTGCTCCAGAGCTTTAGTAAATGAGGGAAAGCTCTGCTGACTTCCAACATCCAATCATGTGCAAGCAAGAATGCTGTTTTACTTTCCTTGCATATGATTGGGCATTCTTTGTAGTTGACGTTTCACCTCACTTACTAAGCTTTGGTGCAAATGCCCTTGCAGGGTGCAACTGAATTTGCAAAGAATGCAGGCTATTGGCCTGTAGTAAATCAACCCTGTTTGGCACATGATTAGCTGCTCTGTGCCGAAAACGTAAAGGCCGATCTGCTGATAGCCCAAGATTTACTGCTGATCAGGGGCTCTGGGCTTCAGCAAAATAGCAGCCACTGGAAAGAAGAAACAGGAACAATGCTGGAGGCAATTTACAGCACACACTAATTTTGGTAGCATAAATATTGTGGAATGTATGTTCCTTACCAAAGATCAATTTTTATCAAGTTGTTATGGGTAAAGTTCCAGTCAGCTAAATACATTCCAGGTGCATAAAAAAAAAAATGGTATTTATAATCATACCCTTTGTTTTCTTTAAAAAGCAGCCAAAGCCTGTGTAGAAAAGCCTGTTCGCTGCCAGCATGCTGTAGAGAAGGTCCCTTGCTCTCTGTGTTGAAGAAGAGGTCTCTCTGCAGAGGTCTGGCAAGCCCCCTACTAAGCTAAAGCTTGAGCTCTCCAATCATCAAGGAACATGAGCTCTGCTGATTGGAAGGCTCTAGCTCTAACTCATTATGGGGTTTGTCTGACCTCTGCAGAGAGACCACTACTTCCATAAAGAGAGAAAAGGTTCTTCTCTGCTGCATGCTGGCACTGAACAGGCTTTTCCACACAGGCTGTGATTGCATTCTAAGGAAATTGAATTGTAAAATGTTGCACACTTATTTTTATGTACTTAGAACATATTTATTTGATTTAAAATCAAAGTTCAGTTGGGTTGAGTAGGTGCCATTGAGGGGGGAGGTTTAGGCAGAGGCAATAAGGGTATCTTTACAATATAACTGAATTTTTTCTTTATTTTATTCATAGACCTTGAAGACAAAACCACCCAAAAATGATGATTTTCTGTTGCAGCTGGGAAGTTGACTCGCCTCTTATATCAGATACCCCAAATCCCATTGTGTTCATGGGCTGCAAAGATAGGTGTCACACTCCACCAGAAAATTCTGAATAATGTAGAATAAATAAATAATTCCTAAGTCTGGCTATGAGAAAGTGACTCTTTCATTAATGTCTTGTGGAAGGAGATGCAGATAGAAATGAGTGCAGCACAATCTCATTGGAGCTTCTGAGATACACCTAAGTCCTTAGGTTTCCATCATTGTTCACCGGAAACGGGAAGAAATGTTTATCTATGCAGCTGGTCTTTAACATTAGCAGAGCAAGTCCTAAGTGTCAGTATAAATGGAAGGAATCTGAGGAAGACAGTGGTCAAAAGCAGCATGAGGAAAGAAGTCTCTGTCTGGTGAGCAGATTGCTCTGACGTCTTCCAATACACACTGAGCACCCACACTGCCGCCGTGTAATTCATACCCTGCAGAGATAAAAATATAGTCATTGAACAAGCAAATTAAAGGGAGGTCCTGCAAGTAATGAGAAGAGGTGATGAGAAGGGTGCAAATTATATGGGATCATCAAACTTTCTAAATAAATGACCAGTTCACCATACAATCAAATTGTATAGTAGATGGTCACCTAAAGAGACAGAAAGTGAAAAGGAGGTCAGTACCTGTAGATTGTCCAACAGAAACTTGATATTGGTTTGGGTCAAGTGACCCTCTGCTCAGACACTGGATCTCTCGATAGCACTCTGGGTATTGCACAAAATTTCCCTGAAATTCTGGAAAGAATTTACACAAATTAAACAATCATGGGGAAATAAATTAAATTTCTCAATTAGTATCAGTCTCAAGCTAGTGAGATTCAAATCTGATCTACAGGTGCAGACGTGTGTGTGTATACTGAATATATATTCTCCATTGCTGCATTCACATCCATGTTATTGTGGCACACTATTCACACCTGTTAGAATCACACACAGCTCACAAATGCAAAATAATGCACTTAGGGAATAGAAATCCTCTAACGGAGTACAAAATTGGAGGTACAGAGCAAAAAAATTTCAGGATGGCTGTAAAGCAAGCCAAGAATGTAACAGGCAGTGGGGAAAAGAGGTCCTGATCACCCTAAATTGATCTTTAGTTTTCACTAGAGGGGTCACCAGCAGGAGGAAGGAGGTCCCGATTCCCCTATATAGATCTTTAGTTATCACTAGAGGGATCACCAGCAGGAGGAAGGAGGTCCTGATTATCCTATATAGATCTTTAGTAATCACTAGAGGGGTCACCAACAGGAGGAAGGAGGTCCTGATTATCCTATATAGATCTTTAGTTATCACTAGAGGGATCACCAGCAGGAGGAAGGAGGTCCTGATTATCCTATATAGATCTTTAGTAATCACTAGAGGGGTCACCAACAGGAGGAAGGAGGTCCTGATTATCCTATATAGATCTTTAGTTATCACTAGAGGGATCACCAGCAGGAGGAAGGAGAGTCCTGATTATCCTATATAGATCTTTAGTAATCACTAGAGGGGTCACCAACAGGAGGAAGGAGGTCCTGATTATCCTATATAGTGATAACTAAAGATCTAGAGGGATCACCAGGAGCAAGAAAGAGTAAGGAAGGAATGGAGGGGGGGAGTGTAAGGGAGGGAGGGAGGGAGGGGTGGAAGGGAAGGAAGGG